ATTAATTAATTAATTAATTAATTTGTTTTTTTTCGGTTTTTTTAGTAAAATGCATATAAAAAAAGCTTCTTGACCCCCATCGTCGGTCCCGAGAGGGCGATTTAGCGCCCCTGCAAGGGAGTTGGGCACATTAAAAACATATTTTTTACTTCTTTGTATTTCATAGATCCAGTGATGAGAGCAGCACTCACTCAAGGTTCACTAATTAAGATCGCAAAGTTTCATTGTGTACTGCTGTAACTGCTGCGTTATGACCAGGTGCCCATGTAGGTGCAAGTATATTTTAAGATTTTATTCAATCCGAAAAATATTGAGTTATGCTACTTTTGATGGGCGTTTACGGCTTCACCCGACCCATTTCACGTAATACGTCAAGAACGTTGTCCGGCAGACTACCATAGACGGTAGCCGTCCTAGTTACGCATTGACGCATGGGTCAGACGGTCGGTGGAAGCGCCAATGTCCGTCCACCCAAGTCACCGCCGAGGCGGGGGAGTCACACAACAAAATGGAAAAAAAAAGTTAGTCCAGACTACGCACCTTTCTGGAAAAAAAAACGTCCCACACGACGAAACTTTCGATTTCGAGAGGGATGGGGGCAGTGTTCGGGCGCCGCGGCGTCCCGGAGGGGTCTCGGCCGCCGGATAGGCGGGTGGCAGTGCCCGGGGGTTCCCAAAACATGATATAAATTACAATTGAAGGACCAGAAGCGCTGACCACTCGGCCCAAGACGCCCTCTGAAGTGACGAAAATGCTGTACAGGTCGATTTTACGAGACGCCATGCGACGTCTCGACGTCGGTAGCGCGTCAAGCTCTTAGGCTTCTTCCTTCCCGTAAGCTTTTCCCCGAGCAAAAAAAAACGCGTTGAGGAAATTGCATATCGGTACAGTTCGCGTCATTGCGAATCTTATGCCATATGTGAACAGGCAACTTTTCGGACTGGCATTTTGGACTTTGTCACTTTGGTCGTGTTTTTGTGTACTTTGTCATTTTCAGCTCTCGAACGAACGATGGTTTCATTTGGCATGACACGCTTACTGACTCCCGCAAAAACNGTGGTGCTTCAAATTCGACGCATCAATGTGACACTGGACATTCACAAAT